ACATGATGGCTTCCTTTGCTTTGAAAACCTCCATTTTGGAATAACCTCACTTTCATGCCTAAGGGACGCTATTTCCTACCTCCCACCCTGTGAACTAAAGATGCTACCTCAGGTCATCCAAACTGCCCTCATCATTTGACAATTGGACCACCGCAGTAGACTTCTGGTTGGCCTCTTTGTCTCCAATCTTTTCCCACTGCAGTCCATCCTCCACTCAGGAAGTGATCTTCTAGGATATTGGGTAGGTCCTCATGGGAAGACATGGACAAGAATTGCAAAAAATCAAAAGGTCTGAATGAAGGTCACATCATGTTACCTCTTTACTTAAACTCCAGTGGCTCCTTATTACCTCCAGGATCAAATATAAAATCCTCTTTTGGCTTTTAAAGGCCTTCATTACTCGGTCTCCTCTGTTTCTAGTCTTCTTATATCTTACTCCCTCCATGTACTCATGAATCTAGTGGCACTGACCTCCTTGCTGTTCCTCTCATAAGACACTCCATCTCCAGACTTCAGGCATTTTCACTGGCTTTCCCCTTTACTTGGAACACTTTCCCTCTTCATCTCTGCCTCCCGGCTTCCTTCAAGTCTCAGGTAACATCCCATCTTCTGCAAGAAACCTTTCCTGATGTATATGTATAGCCTACATCAGATTGTGTGCCATCTTGGGGAGGGACAGGGAGAAAAATGTAAAACTCAAAAGCTTAAGGAAATTATCGTTGATAAATCAAAATAAATTAATAAAAAAAGTGTCAGAGTTGAGAATCAAAAAAGAAAAAAAAAGAAACCTTCCCTGGTTCCCCTTAAGGCAAGTGTATACCCCCTGAAATTAACTCCAATTTACCCTCAATATATTTTGTTTGTACATAGTTGTTTGTATGTAGTTTCCCCACACCATCACCATTAGATTGTGAGTTCCTTGAGGGTAGGGACTGGTTTTGCCTTTCTTTCCTCAGTGCTTAGCACATACCACTTAATAAATGAATGGTGACTGTCTGACAAACTGACATTTATTGGGTTTCCACTTTTAGGAAAACTGTCTTGGCTGTAGGGAAGAGTAATCTCCAAGCGTTCTATCTTTGTCTTCATATATCGATATTTCAATGGATCTCTGATATCTTCAATATACTTCCCCTGACACTAGCTCCACTTGCAAACGCAAGTGATTTAACCTTCCTGAGCCTCAGTTTCCTCATCTGTACAATAAGGATGATAGCACCCAACAAACTTAAATCTAAAGTCATTTACTAATCTTAAGGTGCTCTATGAATACTGGTTGTTTTTGCTTTGTTATCCCTCCATTGGTACAGATTGCAACCCATGGCTCGTGTTCTCTCCCCCTTTAGAATGGGAGCTCCTTAAGGCAGGAACTGTTTTTTGTTTTTCTTTGTATCTTGAGTGCTTGGTATAGTGACCAGGATGTTTTCTGGTTGTTGTTTAGTCATTTCAGTCTGTCCAACTCTTTGTAATCCCATTTGGTTTACCATTTCCTTCTCTAGCTCATTTTGCAGATGAGGAAACTGAGGCAAACAGGGTAAAGTGACTGCCCAGGGTCACACAGCTAGTGAGCGTTTGAGGCTAGATTTGAACTCAGCTCTTCCTGACTCCAAGCCTGTCACTCTATCCACTATGCCCCTAGCTGCATGTAGTAAGCCCTTAATAAAAACTTCTTGACTTGACTTGACTTGACTTGACGTATATCCTCTTCTCTTTCTACCTTCTTTCTTTCTCTTGAGGATCTCAACCGTTCTCAAGGGTTCAATTGTCATGCCTGAGCAAATGACTCCCAAAATATCAATATTTACCAATTTTCATTTCTCTCCTGAACTCCAGTCCCATGTTATCAGGGGCTCATTGTCTAGCCATTTTTAAACACTTTTATGGGCAACAAATGGAATTAGTCGATCTATACGTATCTCTTGAATGAGCACTGCTGACAGACAATGAACTGGGTCAGAACTGAAAAGAAAGATGGCATTTGAGAGGCTTCTCATTATGCTCTCTGATAGCAACCAACAGAATAAAATTCTATCACTGAAGGCAATATGATTTGGGTCTCTGATCCTTCCAAAGTGTCTGACTTTGTGACCCCGTTTGGGGTTTTCTTTGCAAAGATACTGGAGCGGTTTGCCATTTCTTTCTCCAGCTCGTTTTACAGATGAGGAAACTGAGGCAAACAGGGTTAAGTGACTTGCCCATGGTCACATAGCCAGTAAGTATCTAAGGTCAGATTTGAACCCAGGTCTTCCTGACTTCTGGCCCAGCACTCTGAAAGGGGGTTTAGGTTCCATAATGTTGAAACTTTAGGAGAACTGTGCCCTCCTCAATGAGGATATTCCCTTCAATGACGCAGATTGCAACTCATCTATGCCTATATGCCATGCCTAGTGTCCATCTCTTCCTATAAACAGAGTGCCCATTCACCATGCAAAGGACCTTCCTCTAGATCTCTTGATATTGCAAGGAGCTCAAAGGATGACACACCAATGAATGACCATTGGTCAGCTCCCTCTTGCTATGTGGCCAACCATTTTTCTTTTGTGTGGGTGGGTGCTGATTTGGTAGAAGAGAAGATACTTGTCTCATCAATGATTCTGGTTTATCAAGGATCCAGTCAGACATTATTAATTTTATACCCTCATCAACCTCTCTTCTTCAAGTATTTCCTGGTAAGGCAACTAAGGGACAATTCTATTTTCCTTCCTCTTCTTGCACCAACACTGCCCTCAGGGTATTGATCAGCAGCCCTGATGTAAAAGAACTTTGGAGTATGAAAATATCAATCAGAATCGTTTCCTATTGATACTTTTAATTTATCTAAGGCCACTCTGGTGTCCATGTAAAGCCATTTGACTTTCTCACTTAATAGCTCAGTAAGAAGAGAAACCAAAGAATCCAGCAAAATCCTAAACATCCATAAGACTCAGTAGGCAAGGCCAGGAAGGTCTGTGCATGCTGGCTCCTTTTTCTTTGGAAACCACCATTTTGGAATAATCTCATCTTTATGCCTAAGGAATACTATTTTCCATTTTCTTCCTTATGAACCAAAGATGCTACCTCAGGCTATCCAAATGGGCATTTATTGAGTTTTCACATTCAGACAACTGTCTAACTTGTGGGTAGGAAGTGGCGGAGTGGAAAGAGAGAAGACTCCAAATATATCATTACATATTGGAGAAAGGAGACATGGCATAGTAACTAGAGAGTTAGTCTTAGAGTCAAGAGTCCTGGGTTCAAATCTATTTCTGACATATATAAGCTATGTGACCTTAGGGAATTCATTGTACTCCCATGGATTCAGTTATCAATCATCTATAGAGGACTCCAAAATCTATACAACCAATGCTTAGCACAGTGCCTGGCACAAAGTACTTGCTTAATTAATGCTATTGATTTGACTTGACTCAGCCTAATCTTCTCTTTCTCTGTCTCTGTCTACCTCTCTGTCTCTCTCTCTCTCTCTCTCTCCCTCCCTCCCTGCCTGTCCAACACTACACTAGTCCTAATATGCATCTCCTAGATACCCTGTTGAAATCTCAAACTCAACATGTCCAACATGACCTTCTGTCTCCACCCACTCCTCCTCCAAACCCCACTATTTCTATTGAAGCCACCACCATCATCATCCCTGGCACCTGGATTTGTAACTCTTCCCTCTCCCTCACATCTGATCAACTGCCAAGTTTTGTCCATTCTGGTCCAGTGCATCTCAGGCAAATAATCTTTACTTTCTCCTTACACACTCACTGTCCTAGAGTCCCTGATGTGTCTTTCTTGGACTGTTATAACTCCCTAAATAAGATCTCTCCTTCTAATCTAAACTCATTCCATATAATTGTCAAAATAAGGCAGAAGTCTGACCACGTTATTCCCCTACTTAAAAAAAAAAAAACCTTCAGATCATCTACTGCCTATCAGAGAAAATGCAAATTCCTTAGCCTGGCTTTTATGATTCTACACAATCTGGGTTCTATCTAACTTTCCAGGCATTTTTGATCCTGTGAAGTAAAGTGATTGGACCAGACTAGGGTTTCTTAACCTCTTTTGGGTCATGGACCCTTTTGGTAGTCTGCTGAAACCTATGGATCCCTTCTCAGAATCATATTTTTAAATCATAAAATAAAATAAAGTATACAGGATTACAAAGGAAACCAAAGGTTAATGAAAATAAAGATGCAATTTGTTTGTGGACCCACTGAGATCTATCCCCATTCACCAAAGGGGTCCATGGACCCCAAGTTAAAACGTCTGGACAAGATGACCCCCAAGGTCTGTTCTAACTCTGAATCCTATGATTCTATGATACTACCCTTCACAAACACTATGTTACCAGACCAGCTGGACAGGCAGAAAGGAAGGAAGGAAGGAAGGAAGGAAGGTAGGTAGGAAGGAAGAAAGGAAGAAAGGAAGAAAGGAAGAAAGGAAGAAAGGAAGAAGGAAGGAAGGAAAGAAGGAAGGAAGGAAGTTAGTATTTGTAAACTTCCTACTATGTGTCAGCACTGTCTTAAGTGCTTTACAAATATTATCTTATTTGAACATCACAACAACCCTGCAAAGTATGTGTTACTATTATACTCCCATTTTACAATTGAGGAAACCGAGGCAAACAGAGGTTAAATGATTTGTCCAGGGTCTCACAGCTACTAAGTATCTAAGGTCAGGTTTGAACTGGAAGCTGTTCTCTGAATTTGACCAATGAATGTATTTGCTTCAGCCATGCTCTGCCCAGGGGAGGCTTTCCTCTTCATCATTGCCTCTCAGAATCCTTGTCTCTCAAGTGTCTGCTTAGGTTTCATCTTCTTTGAAGTCTTCCTTGAAGCCCTTAACTATTACTGCTCTCTCCACATCAGATTACCTTGTGCTATGCTTCTTTGAGTGGATGTTGGACTCTATATCCTGTCTACTCCCACCCCAAGGAAAATCTAAATTCCTTGAGGGCAGAAATTGTTTGGTTTTACCTCTATACCCAGGCTTAATAAATGTTTTTGTTTGTTTTTCAGACTGGTTCTCCTTATCTTACTGGGATAGAAGTGCTATTACTGCTGATTGGTATGGAAACTTCACCCTGCTCTGTTTCTGACCTGGCCTGGTTCACCCTTCTTTAGGTAACCTGGTGGTTCCCCCCACACAGAGAGAAGAGTGTGGGAAATTTGGGGAAGAACTTTCCTGGTCAGGAAGATTAAGATTTAATCAAAGATAGTAAAGAAATTCTAAGTTTAGGCAATTGGGTGGATTCCTGCTCATTGTGTCTACTCAGACAGGCCTGGGAAAGTGTGGATTCTCCCTTTTGGCAGACAGGTGATATGGAAATTGATAAATCTCTTTGACCAAGATTTAGGTGCTCAGTGTCACCTACCTCAAGACCCTCATTGGAAGAAGCCCACCTCTCATCACAATGTTCATTCTCTTATTACTTATTAATGAATCAGAGTTGATTCTCACCCTTAGATGCATCCCTTTTTCAAAAGACTTTATAAATATTGAAGGTTTGACAGGCTTGGTCTCTTGGCTACAAAGGGGACAATGAGCCTGTTTTGTCGACTGCTTTCTAGACATAGTCAATAAAATTTATTCTAACTTACTCAGAAACTCTGTCAGAAATTTTCAATCATCACAGTTGGGATTTAGAAATCTGTCTTAACCAATAGCGAAATAAAATGGGAAGGGGATAAGAGATATGGGAGGGGGGATGATAAAAGGGAGGGTGGATTATGGGAGGCAGTGGTCAGAAGCAAAACAGATTTTTGAAGAGGGACAGTAGAAAGAGAAGAGAGAGAGAGAGAGAAACAGAAGAAAACAGGATGAAGAGAAATATACAGTAATCATAACTGTGAATGTGAATAGGATGAGCTGCCTCATAAAATGAAAGCAGACAGCAGAATGGATTAGAAACCAGGACCCAACAATATATTGTTTATAAGAGAAACACTTAAAACAGAAAGACACACACAGAGTTAAAATGAAGGGCTGAAGCAGAATCTAATGTACTTCAGCTGAAGTGAAAAAAGCAGGAGTAGCAATCATGGTATCAGACAAAGCAAAAGCAAAAATAGACCTAATTAAAAGAGATAATCAGGGAAACTACATTTTGCTAAAAGGTACCATAGACAATGAAGTAATAGCAAAAAAAAAATTATAGCAAGTTTCTTTATTTCTATATATTTCTCAAATATATAGGGAATTGAGTCAAATTTATAAAAATAAGAGCCATTCTCCAGTTGACAAATGTTTAAGGGTTTTGAATAGGCAGTTTTTAGAAGAAGAAATCAAAGTTGTCTATAGTCACATAAAAAATTATTGAAATCACTACTGTTTAGAGAAAAGCAAATAAAACAACTCTGAGGCACTACCTCACACCTATTAGAAATGACAAATGCTGGAGGGGATGAGTAATAATAGGTACACTAAATTGTTGGTGAAGTGGTAAAACTGGTCCAATCATTCCAGAGAACAATTTAGAACTATTCCCAAAGAAACATAAAACCATGCATAGCCTTTGACCCAGCAATACTTTTACTAGGTCTGTACTCCAAACAGATTAAAAAAAAAAAAGGAAAAGGACTTATATGTACAAAAATATTTATAGCAGATCTTTTTGTGGTGGCAAAGAATTGGATATTGAAGGAATGCTCATCGATTGAGAAATGGCTACACAAGTAGTTGTGGCATACTATTGTGATGGAATACCGTCGTACTATAAGAAATGATGAGAGGGGTGGTTTCAGGAAAAAAAAAAAAAAACAAGACCTTTATGAACTGATACAAAGTGAAGTGAGAAAAATGGGGAGATCATTGTACACAGTAATCACAATGCTATGATGATGACCAGCTGTGAAAGACTTAGCTACTCTGATCAATACAAGGATGCGAGACAGTTCCAAAGGACCCATGATGAAAAATGCTATCCAACTCCAGAGAGAGAACTGTTGAACTCTAAATGCAAACTGAAATATAATTTTCTCACTTTACTTTTCTTCTTCTTTTTTTGGTGACATGGCTAATATGGAAATATGTTTTGCATGATTTTACACATATGATTAATTGATATAATATTGCTTGCCTTCTTAGTGGGTGTGGGAGAGTTTGGGAGGGAGGGATAAAATATGGAACTCAAAATTTTAAAAGAATGTTAAAAACAAATAAATAATAATTTTGTTGAAAAAAAATTAAATTAAACCAAATCCATGCCTACTCCTCCTCTTTCTATTTCTTGGTGCTTGAAAGGTACCACTTGTACATTCAAAACTCCAACAGATTCTAGGCTGTATTAATGTGGTGAGCTGATTCCTTCCAGTTCCTGTATCAGTTATCACCTTCATCTACTAGATGGAGGAAAGGAAGTAGAGAGACCTTACTGCAGTTTGTCACACATCTATTGAGCCTTAGAGCTGTGTCCTGCCTCCCAAGTCCAAAGCTTTCCCCATTCCACTGGGTTGTTTATATTGACGGGACCACCTTTCCTGGTTGGGAGACTGTTCAGAACAATAAAAGAAGCCTTCCAACGATGTTGCAACACCCACAGTAGGAACCCCTGGTGGCCCAGGGGTATTATGAAGGAACTGTGTTTGTCTCCCCTTAGAACAGCATGGGATAGGCTGTTGACGTCAGTGCTGAGAATTGATTACTTGTCTGCAGAGATAAGGTGATTGGGGTTCTCTGAACAAGCAGTCCTGTTATTCCCCAGAGTGACAGCTAAACTGCTCACTATTAACTGAGACAGAAAAGATATTAAGATGTTGTTGGGAAACCTATGTAATGATACAGATACCTCTGATGCTCTCTGCAGCACACTTTGGGTGCTATCTCTTCACTGGCATGTTGGGATGAGAAATCTGACCGTGCATAAAGTGCAATAAATGTTCAAGGCATTATAATGTCTGGGTAGCACTGGAATCTTCTCAGAAGGGGAATGAGTAAAATACAGCATAATAATAAGCAAGCATTTATGTAGTGCTTCAAGGTTTGCAAAGCCCTTTACCTATGATGACTTATTTGATTCTCACAACAACATTGTGAGCTAGGTACTAGTATTAACTTCATTTTACAGATGAGGAAACTGAGGCAGAGAGAGGTTAAGTGACTTGCCTAGGGTAAAACAGCTTAAAAGTGTCTGAGGCAGGATTCAAACTCAGATCTTCCTGACTCAATTCCTACGCTCTATCCACTGCACCACCTCTCTGCCAGAAATAGGGGATTTTTACCACCGCTAGAATATTAACAGACATTGGGTAACAAAATGTTACCAAGGACAGCCAGTGTTGTGCAAGGAAAGTTTATGCAAACGTTCATCTGGGCAGATTCCTGAGAGCAGTAACTACCAAACGTTAAAGGAAACAGCTAGTCCCTGTCATTCACGAGAGTTGGAGCTCTAGAAACAATGACTTAAGACCTAAGGCAAAAGAGAATTGTCAGTCAACAAATATTTATTAGCTCTTTTGATGTCAAGCACTGTGCCAAGAGTTTGACTCTAGATCGCCACTTCTCAAAAATATTTAACTTGTGACTTCCCTCAAGAGCTCTCATCCCATATACTTTCAAAAAAAGAAAAGAAGAAAAACTGTTATCTTGTATTTGATTGATTTATTTCCAAAGTTTTGTTGACATCCTTTGCTTTTTTCATCACAATCTCTTCCCTTTATGACATCTGGAGTGTCAAACCGTCCTTCGAAACAAAGAAAAATAGCTGGAAAAACTGACCAACGAAATGACCAACACTACCAGTGTAAACAAAATTCTGTACCCACAATCCTCTTCCTCTCTTCTGGGACAAGTGAAGTGGATTTTCTTTTCTCTGGGACTGAAATTGATCATTGCATTTTTTTATTTTATAATTTTATTGATGTCTTTTTTTTTATATCACATTCACTTCTGAATGTACTCCTCCTACTCTTCCTACCCAATGAGACAACTGATGTAACAATTGAGTGGGATGCCCCTATGAAGACTTCTCAGTGTAATTAAGGTTTGGGATAAGATTATCCTGAATTTGGAGATAAGTTCATGAGGCAGAATAGGATAACTATAGATTTCTATAGCTCCCCCTTCTCCCAGTGTTAAGTCAGTAGTTAAAGACTGCCAAGCCTGAAACCCCCCCGTATTCTGTTGCTGCATTCTGGTCATGGTGACCTTCCCACAGCAGCATCTAGCTTGATTGCACATTCTAAATTGTTCATTTTTGCAGCAAACTAAGGCAATGGATATGTATATTGTTTCTTTGTTCTCTGTCTCTGGGTAAGCCAAATATTGGATAGTTGGTGGGAGGGGGAATTTTCCCCATTTCTGCTATTTAATCTGTCTTTTTGCTTTTGTATATTGTCTTCCTTCATCAGAAATCATGCTGGTGCAGGAACACCTGATTCTCGAGAATTGAAATATACTTTCTGTTCCTACCTTGCGATACCTCTGAGTCTTTTTTAAGTCGTATCCCACACACAAGGAATAAAAAAGAAAAAAAATGCAATTCAGGAAAACCACCATCAACTAAGTCAGAAATGTGGAATGTTCCATACCCACAATCCACCACTTATGCAAAGGAGGGAGGAAAGTGCATTTTCTTATCTCTTCCCTGAAGCCAAGTTTGAACATTATAATCATACAACATATAACTGGGGGGAGAGGGGGTGTTTTTGTTCCCATTTGTTGTTTTAATCATGTATATTGTTTTCCAAGTACTCTGCATCTGTTCATGTAAGTCTCCCTATGCTTCTCTGGATTCATCATAGCCATTGTTTCTTCAGGTATAGTAATATTTCATTATATTCACATACTACATGAGAGAGTATGGCATGATGAATACAGAGCTGACCTGGGAACCAGGAAGACCTACCTGGATTCCCAGGAAAACCCACCTGGAGTCAAGTCTTGCCTCTGATTCATACTGATGTGTGACCTGGGGCAAATCACCTGACATCTTTTCCTGCTCTAGAGAGTGCTTTAAGACTATAGTTATAGAGAAGCTACTGACTTATATTGGTAGAAGGAGTGTCTCGGGAAAGGGGACTTCATCTGGAAGTTCTCTATATCATGAATCTAATTTGAATACAACATATACCACAATTTGTTTTGCCATACCACAAGCAATGGGTGTCTAATTTTGTTTCTGGTTCTTGCTACCACAAAAGAATGTAATCATTGTGTTTCATCAGAGGTCAGACATGCTACCCTTCAGCATGGCAGTGGACCTTCAATGAGACATCAAGGATTTTTAAGCACTCACTATGTGTCAGACACCATGCTAAGCACTGGAGATATAAAGAAAGGCAAAAACAGCCCCTACCTTCAAGGGCTTATATTCTAATGGGGGAGACAACATGTAAATAATTGGGCACACACGAGATTTATACAGTATAAAGGTAATCTCAGAAGGGAAGTTGGGGGAGATTTGGAAAGACGCGCAGCAAAAGGTGAGATTTACTATAAATCTTTAAGGAAGCAATGGAAACCAGGCTGTGAGGAGAGAGCGGGGTAAATACCAGGCAAGAGGGTCACCACCCTAGGAAAGCATAAGGCAAGAGGGGAAAGTCAAGGCAAAGCAGTCTCCCCACTGCATCTTGAATAGTCACTGGCTGCTTCTGGGATTCTTTTTCCGGATCGTCAGTACTTGTGGGCAGTGATGACGGACCAATCCGTATTGGCAGAGTTCAGCATACAGACTCCAGCTAGG